TTAATTAATAAATATGTTCAACCAAAACATCTAAATACTTAAACATGTTTATTCGATGCAACAGATAATAATCACTTAAACATGTTTATACATCAATTTTTAAACACTTCAACATGTTTATTTTACCAAATAAATAAACACTTAAACATGTTTATAAATTTTCAACATTTTATTTGAAACAAGCATAAAACAGTACAAAATACACAATTTGGTTGATAATGAACATGTTATACATAATTTTTTATTATTGATAAATGATTTAATGTAGATTTGAGGGTTCAAACTTAATAAACAATTATAACAGTAAACAACACATTTATTTATACATAGATACATTTAAATTTCTTTAAAAAAATAGAATTATCAAACAAACAGCATTGTAAAACCTGCATGTGTAAACTAAAATCCAATAAATTGATTTCAGGGAGTTCAAATATAAAATAAAATACAATATCGATTAATAAAATGAAATAATTTTCATCAGTAAACTTTAAAAAGGGTCAGATCGTCCTTTACATCTTTTTTTTTAATAATAAAAGAATCAAATCCATGAATATGTATATATATATATATGTATGATGCAAAAAGACTGAAAATGTTATTTGTTGTCTAGGCACTATATACAATTACATCTACACTCAGTCTGATATATGGAATTGTATTTCATAAATATTCAGGTTTAAACCAAATGTTTTCCCAGTTTTTGACTAATTCATTCAATACTAGTATGGGCTGCCGGGGTATCATAATTCCCATGCCACATATATAACAGTCTAGCCCCTCTGGTTGTGGGTAAAATCAAAAAGTGATCAAGCATTTATTGTGTGCACACTAAGTAGTTCTAGTTCCTTCTTCTATGAAATATCCGGTTTTCTTGTGTAAATTCAGATAATTATATGCAAAAGAATACATATTGAGATCAAAAACTAAAACAATTTGTTATTCTTCACGTCAATATTAATTATATAATACATAGAATGTAAAAATCTGCAATTGAAATAAATCATATAAGCGTACAGTGTATTAAAAAATTTAAATGTTCATGTACCTGCAGGATGAGCCAAACAAAAATTAAAAGAAGGGGTGGGGTTTGGCCTCTCGGCTTGAGACATTTTCTATCATGTAGAAGAGACTAAAAGCATGTACATGTAAGGAGAGAAATTTTTTGTACACTACTTTGTTGCATGGCAATAAAAACACAGTGAATTATTACATTTATTTTATCAGGAAAATGGTGTGTGTGTGTGTGACTTTTAAACCGGTTAAGTATGACTTCTTTTAAATTAGAGTCAATGTAATGTTAGGATTCACAATAACAGATACCCAGTTTAACATTTCAAAAAGATTTTAATATCAGCACATGCACATTGCAGCCAGAGATTACTTAATAGAGAAAATGCATTTCAAAAATAAAAAAAAACATTTTAATCTCACAGTGTGTATTTATAATTTTTTTTAAAACATTTTAAAGAAATGTAATATTATTTCATTGCTTAAAATGTCAACATCTTCTGCGTTCAAATGCCATGTTATGACATAATCAACTGCGTCATTTTCTATCATAACAATTATCAAATTTGCAATTTCTATATAAATACCATGTGTTTAATTTATAAATATATATGATTAAGAAATGAACACTCGTGTTAAACACCGGTGTTTAAAATATCAATACAATTATAGAAATCATCATAATATTGGTTTTTATTTCCCCTTTAGAAGTTTGTGAAAATTTTGAAATTTTGGCACAAAATTACTACTAATTAATGCTAATTGTAATTGCTTTTGGTATGATCTAAAGTCAACATATTGCCTTGCGATTCATATTTTTTGTCTATGTCCTGTCTACCATTATAATTGCCATAAATTAAGATATTTAAAAATGGTGAATTCCTACAGCAAATACTGCAAACCTAATTTATTTTTTGATTTGATGCATATGAACATTACTTTTGTGACCTCCTATTTTAAATATCAGTTTTATATATAAAACACAATGTTTTGTATTTAAACACTTTATGTTTAATTGTAAAACACGACTGTTTAAAAATAAAACACAAGTTAAACATCATTTTTTACAGTGTAATATTAAGTTAAGAATGTCAACATAAAGTTGATTTCTTTTTCTAAAAATAATTATGAAACCCGTGCTTGAAAAGTGGGTTGGTATATAGTGGGGATATAAATTCGTGGATGAAGAATTGCTTAGCATTTATAAATGTAACATTTTACATTTCGCGGTGGACATGGTTTCGTGCGCTTTCATGACCTCCAATTTTAACAACAAAAATTAAACCCCCACGAAAATTTGTGATTTCACAGTATATATTAAAGGGTACGCATCTCTTATCCGCAACTCCTATACCACTGATTAAAATTTAATGATAAATATCCTTTCTCAGATTCTTTATTACTTAATTCTATTGTGTAACTCCTATTTTTATTTGATCTGACACTTATTTCTTGTCTCCCAGAAGAAAACATATGCATTACCCTTATGCAGACTGTAATGGTATGGGAGGCGAGGTATCATTTAGTGAGTTCGTTGCTCACAGTTCCTAAAGCTTTTTTATAAAGTTTGACATGAAATATAAAAAACATTTGAAAACTTACATGACAAGCATTTTCCATTTCTTTTGACGCCTCACGTGATTGGAATAATCGTAGCCTTCCATATACATGTCAATACATTAAAAATGATGTTTATGTGTGTATAAAAAAATACCGGGAATGATATCATCACGGTGACGTATAAAGTGATGGTTGTGGATACTCTTCATCTAAGGGGTGGAAAATCTTTTAGTGCACCGTCTTTCAGTTTAAACCAAAAGAAGTTTCAAGACGTTTTTATTGTAATTTAAAATGATGGATATCAATTCATTGCAAATAACAATAAGTTTAGATTTACCTGTAAATTTACATTTCCATACAAAAATAATGAATACATTATGAAAAGTATTTTGGATTTTTGAAATATTAAAAAGATCTTACAAGAAATAACATTGGTAAAATTTAAGAATTTAATTATTTGTTTACACAAAATTCCACCTACTAGAAATTTCACCTTTTTCTAGGTATTTATAAAGTGGGATCTGCTAAACCGTTCTCCTATGTATGCTCACTCTCTTGGCACGTAAACAGAATGATTATAAATCATGAAGAACGCTTTACGAGGCACACTAGTTAATTAAATCGATGTTTTGTTTTGCTACAATAATTTTTTGCAAAAATCTTTTAATGCAATGTCTTTCAGTGTAAACCAAAAGAAGTTTCAAGAAGTTTTTATTGTTATTTAAGATCAAAAGTTCATTAAATAAAAAAATAAAAGTTAGAGAGCAGAAATTTAATGTCCATACAATCACTAACTTCAAACACGGACCTGTGGGATCAGGTGCCATGGAGAAGTTTACATCCCCTGCCGACCGGTCACACCCGCCATGTGCTCTTCTTCATGATTTCTTCGTTTCTATGCATTCTTCGTTGAACTTTTTAGAATCATTTCACATAAGGTCTGAAACCCAGGACATTTGCTGAGAATTAAAGAAATTCAGTGTACTTCTTTTAGGATTTTACGTTGAGCAAGTTAAGCAATAAATGATGTTAAAAAATAATGACAAACTGAATGGGAAATTATAAACATGGTGGAACTAATTGCAATAGTCAATAGTTTCTAGACAGTATCAACAAACCAGCATATTACTGTCATTTGCTTCCAAGGCCACTGGTACAGATATACAGATTACCTGGGTTCAGATAAGTCATTTGTCAGCTGTGGTTATGCTTCTAATTACCTGATGAATTCTAATTGTATAGAAATTACAGGTACGTATTTGCTATCGTTCATTTACTTTAACATTAATTGGCTAAGGTCTGATTTTCTCTTGAGACGCAAGATTTTTTTTCCCCCTCACAAATTTCAAATCTTATACAAAATATTTATCATACCTCTTCCCCCCACCCCTCACTTGAAAAGTGAGATCGGGATATTCGTCCGTCCGCCTGTTACACTTTGGGGTACCCATCTCTTATCCTCACTCCTCTAATACCGAATGTGAAATTTCATGAAATTTCACAGATTCTTTGTTACATAGTGCCATTATGTACCTCCTTTTTAACTTCATGATCGGAAACATATTTCGAGTTTTCCATACCAAAACATTGACACTGCCATTTTTTAAAGAATATTGAAGGATATCCATCTCTTATTCGCAACTCTTCCTATACCACTAAATAAAACTGATTGATACTTTCACAAATTTTTTTATCACATAATGCTTTTATATACCTCATATTTCCTTTTGATCTGACACTAATTTTGGGGATTACAGAGAGCACAACATGGACTTTGCCATTATAATTATATGGGAGGCGGGGTGTCACTTAGAAACGTAGTTACTCATTGTTCACAGTATCAATAGTTTATACCGTTCATGATTTTAAAGGGTAATTGGATATGATTACATGTAATTGCAATATGTGTTAAGAAAAAATGTTGAAAGTGCATTGTTTATTATTTTGTACATTGCAAAATATTTAGAAAGGAAAAGAATGGACATTGTACTGATATGTCCCATCACTGAAAGAAATACTTACTTAATTTAACTAGTGTGCCTCGTAAAGCGTTCGTCGTGATTTGTAAATCATTCTGTTTACTGGTTACGATAGTGCGCAGTAGATTATTGCGGTGCAGTGGTCCTACCAAATACTTAGTTAAAAACAATTTAGGTAGTGGTTGCATAGACAGTTAATTAACTAGACTTCTTAGTGATTTTTATATTTTATTTTTTTAATGCAGAACGTCGACGAGATTTTAACATTAATCGTTCTTCCCAATAATGACACTTTAAGATATACAGATATTGTATTGATAAGACAGGTTCGGAGATAATTAAAAGGTCCCCACAATTTGTTGGAATCTCAATATTTATCACAATTCCTAAAGGCACATATATACATGTAACAGGTTGATAAGTAAGGAGATCAAGCATTTATTCTATACAATGTCGGTCCTCTGGTATGTTCTGGTTTTCGTACTCGTCATGTGGACTGCAATAACAACAGCATCAGACGTTGAAGAAAGTCCTCATTCCAAGCATGTAGATGACGATGTGGTTTTAAAAGAGCTTGTGTACGAAATGAGACAAACCTTAAAATTCCAGGCCTCTCGTATCGACTCTTTAGAGAAGAGACTTACAGCTTCGGAGAGGAGGGTGAATTTACTTCTAGACGAACGACAACATAGAGAAATACTCTTCGAAAAATTAACAAGCCGTCTAACTAAATTAGAGTCCGAATGTGATCCTATCAAATCCAGGTTAATTTTACCAAAAGATAATGCCACCGCTAAAATCAGCCAGAGAGAAGGAGAAAATGTTAAATCACGGACAGGTAATTTCACCGTTTGTATTAAAAAATTTGAAACATTTTTAGATATTAACTTGTTAATAATTATGTCAGAAGAACGTTGACTTCTTTTTCTAGATATAATTATTATGCCATCCACTTGAAAAGTGGAAGGGTATATAGTGATCGGGATATTCGTCTGTCTGTCCATCCGTCGGCTACGCTTTGGGGTACCCATCTTTCATCCGCAACTTCACTTATACGATTGAATGAATTTTAATGAGGCTTTCGTAGAATCTTTGTTACATAGGGCCTTTGTGCACTTTCTATTTTACTTTTTCTACGGAAACATCTTTTGGGTTCCCATAACAAAACATGGACACTGCCACTCTTTCCATAATATTTAAGAGAACCTATCTCTTATCCACATCACATCGTATCCCACTGATTAAAATTAAATCATATATACTATTTATTACAGAATGCCATTGTGCACCTCCTGTTAAGTTTTTGATCTGACTGTTATTTGGCGTCTCCCAATACACAACAATGGACTTTACGGGGGTATCATATAGTAAACTCATTGCTCGCAGTACCTCCAGTTTTTTTTATACTAAAGATTGACATGAAACATGAAAAGCATTTCATAACTTACATGACCTGTATTTTTCTATTTTTAGAGCGCCTCCTTGCTGCTCCTACATCCACATCCCTACCTTCATCTATGATTGCCTTCCACGCATACATGTCAAGTACATTAAAAAGTCCCGGGGGCAATCAAATATTGAAATTTGATGTCGTAAAGAAAAATGCCGGAAATGGATATCATCCAGCTACTGGAGTATTTATTGCTCCAGAATCGGGGCAGTATGTATTTTCATGGACAGTAAGAATGCGAAATAACGCATATCATGCTACAGAACTAGTAGTAAATAACGATGTTTATGATATTATGTATACCAGTGCTCAATCATATGACGGTCATTTGACTGGAATAATCGTGGCTGATATCCAATCTGGAGATGATATTTATGTGCGTATTAGTGCGACATGTTCAAATCACGGTGAAATTTGGAGTGATCGTTGTGGATATTCTTCATTTAAGGGGTGGAGAATCTTTTAGTGCAATGTCTTTCACTTTAAGCCGAAAGAAGTTTCAAGAAGATTTTATTGCTATTTAGAATGATGAATATCAATTCATTGTTACACTGAAAAAAATAAAGTTATTAAGAAGACAAGTAAATTTACTGTCCATACAATCACTAACTTAAAAGTAGTTTTTACTAGGTATCGGGTGGATTTATTTGATAACATTGGTAAATATTGAATTTATAAGTAACTATCACTAGGTATCTAGGGATTTATACGACCCTCTCCACGTGACTACTACTACATACTATCTCGGCCCCTAAACAGAATAATTACTAATCATGACGAACGCTTTGCGAGGCATACATTGTACTAGTTAAATTAAATAGATGTTTCTTTCGATACAATAATTTACTTTTTGTAAAAATCCAAGCTTTTCTTTTTGGAGATAACGAACAGTAATCAAGATCAAAAGTCCACAAAACAATACGAAATAGGAGCAGAGCAAACACGGACCTGTGGGATCAGGTGCCATGGAGAAGTTTACATCCCCTGCCGACCGGTCATACGAGGGCTGTTCGGAAATTATTGAGACAATTACATTTACTCCATAAAGGATGGAGATAATTTCATGAAAATTCATCAACATTTTATAAAGAACGAATAAAACACTTATGCAAAATTTCAAATTCCTTTGATAATAAGAAAAGTTTCGGTGAAATAATAAACTTGCATATGTCTATCGACCCGGAGCAGCATCGCTACGTCATTTAACGTTACGTCAGTCGGAGATCATTTTGCATGTGAAACGATCGGGAAGCGTTTAATACTTTTCCTTCTTTGTTATTACATATAACATGACAAAAATTATACAGTCTCTTTTCTTAAACTATTCTTTAAAAATGTTTGCTGTTGCTACCCCAGTGTGAAATTTTTAATTGTGGGAAAGGATGACTTAGAATCATGCAGTGCCGATTTATGCAACGCGGGTCAACGATATTAATACCGTAACGATATTAATACCGTACGTAATAACTGATGGTCTTCCGGGGCTTTTGATTTTACTCTGGTTGAATAAATTGTAAAAGAAAAATCTATACCAATGAAATAACAACTCTAACACATTATTTTTTCTCATTGCTATTGTTTTAGCAGGTCGTTCTTTCTGGAAAAGACTTCTACATTGAGCTATACAAAATTTAGGTATGTTGGCTGCTCCGCCCTTGACGTCAAAAATCCATTTTTTCGTTCTTACCAGATTTCTCTAACGCACTTAATTTTTTTTATGATCTCCGTATTTCTGATCAAAATTCTAACAAAATTGCACAACATGAATTTGAAATAAAACTGAAAAATTATACGCATAAACTGAATTATTTTCGCTCTTATTATGGGTCCAAGAAGAGTTAGAACGTTGGTGTTACATATTTTCAATATCTGATTTCGTGACTGCTCCAGGTACCCCTACTATTGACGCATTTATATATCATTGTACAGAAAATATCTGTAAAATTTGTAAAATATTTTTTGCTTTTATTAATTCTTAGTGTATGGCAAATGTATATGCAAGTTTTCACCGAAAGACGTTCATTAGAAAGCAAAATATACACGATGTCTCAATAATTTTCGAACAGCCCTCGTACCCGCCGTGTGCTCCCTGTCATGATTTCCACTTTTCTTTCCATTCTACGTTGCTTTTTTAAGAATTATTTCACGTAGGGTCTGAAACCCAGGACATTTGCTGAGAATGAAAAAAAAAATGAATCTCTTTTAGGATTTTACGTTGAACAAGTTAAGCAATAAATGATTTAAAAAATTATGTCAAATTGAAATGGGAAACAATAAATAAACATGGTGGAACTAATTGCAATAGTCAGTAGTTTCTGGACAGTATCAACAATCCCGCATATTATTGTCATTTGCTTCCAAGGCCACTGGTACAGATATATAGATTACCTGGGTTCCGATAAGTCATTTGTCAGCTGTGGTTATGCTTCTAATTACCTGGTGAATTCTAACTGTATAGAAATTACAGGTAAGCATTTGCTATCTTTCATTTACTTTAATATTGGCTAAGGTCTGATATTCTCTTGAGACGCAAAATTCTTTTCTACCTGACAAATTTCAAATCTTACACAAAATATTTATCATACCCCCTCCCCCACCCCTCACTTGAAAAGTGAGATCGGGATATTCGTCCGTCCACATAGTGCCATTATGTACCTCCTTTTTAACTTCATGATCGGAAACATATTTCGAGTTTTCCATACCAAAACATTGACACTGCCATTTTTTAAAGAATATTGAAGGATATCCATCTCTTATTCGCAACTCTTCCTATACCACTAAATAAAACTGAGTGATACTTTCACAGATTTTTTTTGTCACATAATACTTTTATACACCTCTTATATTTCCATTTGATCTGACACTTATTTTGGGGATTACACAGAGCACAACATCGACTTTGCCATTATAATTATATAGGAAGTGGGGTATCACGTAGAAACGTAGTATGCTCATTGTTCACAGTATCAATAGTTTATACCGTTCATAATATTAAAGGGTAATTGGATATGATTACATATGTAATTGCAATATGTGTTAAGAGAAATTGTTGAAGGTGCATTGTTTATTATTTTGTACATTACAAAATATTGAGAAAGGAGAAGAATGGACATTGTACTGATATGTCCCATCACTGAAAATGCTTACTTAATTTAATTGGTGTGCCTCGTAAAGCAAAGCGTTCGTCGTGATTTGTAACTCATTCTGTTTATTAGCTAAGGTAGTGAGTAGTAGATGTCTGCGGTATAGCGGTCGTATAAGATACCTAGTGACATTCTAGATTTACTAATGTTATGTAGTAAATCTACCAAATACTTAGTGAAAGATAATTTAGGTAGTGATTGCATGGACAGTGAATAAACTAGACATCTTAGTGATTTTTATAAATTATTTTTAATGCAGAACGTCGACGAAAATTTGATTTTAATCGTTCTTCCCAATAATGACATTTTAAGATATATGGATATTGTATTGATAAGGCAGGTTTGGAGATAATTATAAGGTCCCCACAATTTGTTGGAATCTCAATATTTATCACAATTCCTAAAGGCTCATATATAACAGGTTGATAAGTAAGGAGATCAAGCATTTATTCTACACAATGTCGGTCCTCTGGTATGTTCTGGTTTTCGTACTCGTAATGTGGACTGCAATAACAACAGCATCAAGCGCTGGAGAAAGTCTTCATTCCGAGAATGTTGATGATGATGTGGTTTTAAAAGAGCTCGTGTACGAAATGAGACAAACCTTAAAACTCCAGGCCTCTCGTATCGACTCTTTAGAGAAGAGACTTACAGTTTCGGAGAGGAGGGTCAATTTACTTCTGGACGAACGACAACATAGAGAAATACTCTTCGAAAAATTAACAAGCCGTCTAACGAAATTAGAGTCCGAATGTGATCCTATCAAATCCAGGTTAATTTTGCAACAAGATAATGCCAGCGCTGAAATCAGCCAGAGAAAAAGAGGAAATGTTAAATCACGGCAAGGTAATTTCACCGTGTGTATTAAATATTTTGAAACATTTTTAGATATTAACTTGTTAATAATAATGTCAGAAGAACGTTGACTTCTTTTTCTAGATACAATTATTATGCCATCCACTTGAAAAGTGGAACGGTATATAGTTATCGGGATATTCGTCTGTCTGTCCATCCGTCGGTTACGCTTTGGGGTACCCATCTTTCATCCGCAACTTCACTTATACGATTGAATGAATTTTAATGAGGTTTTCGTAGAATCTATGTTACATAGGGCCTTTGTGCTCCTTCTATTTTACTTTTTCTACGGAAACATCGTTTGGGTTCCCATAACAAAACATGGACACTGCCACTCCTTCCATAATATTTAAGGGAACCTATCTCTTATCCACATCACATCCTATTCCACTGATCAAAATTAAATCATATATACTCTTTATTACAGAATGCCATTGTGACCTCCTATTAATTTTTTGATCTGACTGTTATTTGGCGTCTCCCAATACACAACAATGGACTTTACTGGGGTATCATATAGAAAACTCATTGCTCGCAGTACCTCCTGTTTTTTTTTATACTAAAGATTGACATTGAAACATGAAAAGCATTTCATAACTTATATGACCTGTATTTTTTCTATTTTTAGAGCGCCTCCTTGCTGTTCCTACATCCACATCCCTACCTTCCTCTATGATTGCCTTCCACGCATACATGTCAAGTACATTAAAAAGTCCGGGGGGAAATCAAATATTGAAATTCGATGTCGTAAAAACAAATGCCGGAAATGGATATCATCCGTCTACTGGGGTATTCATTGCTCCTGAATCGGGGCTTTATGTTTTTTCATGGACATTAAGAGTACGAAATAATGCCGATCATGCTTCGGAGCTAGTAGTAAATAATGACGTCTATGATATTTTGTATATGTATGCTCATACACATGACGGTCACGTGACTGGAATAATCGTGGCTGATGTCCAATCTGGAGACGATGTTTATGTGCGTATAAAAGCGGCATGTTCAAATCACGGTGACGTATGGAGTGATGTTTGTGGACACTCTTCATTTAAGGGATGGAAAATCTTTTAACAAAATGTTAAACCTTTAAAGTTTTTTTTTCAACTATATTAAAAAACGATACTGGAGTATGATATTCCGCCTTGCAATGGAGTTGAAGCGGATAAAGTAATGTAGTTGTTTGTGTGTTTGTTTGTTTATGTGTTTGCAAGGATTTGCATAGGGGTCAGCTAGAATGTTATGTCATAATTTATAGATATGTTCGGAAGCCCATTTAGGACCTATCAAAGAATATTTTTGAATTCGATATAACGATTTTTAGAATTCGTTATAACGAATTTAATTTGTTATAACAGATTTATTGAATTCGTTATAACGAATTTAATTTGTTATAACAGATTCATTGAATTCGTTATAACGAATTTAATTCGTTAAAACAGATTCATTAAATTTGTTATAACGAATTTAATTTGTTATAACAGATTCACTGATTTGTTATAACGAATTTAATTTGTTATTACAGATATATCGAATTCGTTATAACGAATTAAATCTGTTATTACAGATTTGTTGAATTCGTTATAACCAATTCAAGAATTTGTTTTAACGAATTTTTGAATTGGTTATACCGAATTCAAGAAATCTGTAATAACGTAGTCCTAAATGGGCTTCCGTAGATATGTTCCTTACGAGGAGATGCTTTAATCATTTTGCATTGCCCTTAGATCTCGCATACCGATACACAATTTTAATAGGAGTTAAACTATTTTGACACACAAGTTGCTGAAACAAGAATATTTTAAGTCATAATTCCGTAAGTTCTATAGTCGGTAAAATGACCTTGTCAGCTATATACTAGCCATCATATACACGCTTAATTGTCAGCGGGATTATCCGTTATTTTCCGATCATGACTAGAAGCACACGATGGGTTTGACCGATGGGTTTGACCGATTGGTAGGAGTTGCTCATTCCTCTATGGTATTTCATCCCACCTCTAATGTTTTGGAGGTCCTTTTTTGATCCTCTCCTATTTTTGAGCCTGAATACTGTTCATTATCTCCATATTATTTATTCAATATGAACTTATTCTTAAATAATGTTGTAAGTATTTAAATTGATTTACTGAATTTGTCATATGATTCAATGTAAATGTATTTATTATTCATTGTACCCTAGTTTAATTTAGACTGTTCGTTTTTAGATTGATTGATTGTATGGTGTTTTACTTCCATTGATAATTTTTTTCACTCATGTAGAGACGTCACTATATACCGGTAAAGGGTTTCGAAATTTGACCTATACTTTGGACTAAGGACTACTGATAAAAAAAAAGTAAATTATCTATGTACGTTTCAAAAAGCTATGCTTTTTGTCTTTTTATAAATAAGTAATACGGTTAAAAGTGATGTACTGGAGGTCAGGTATAGCAAAGCGATGCATCACTTCGCAAGAGGACTTTTCTATAAATTAAGGCAACATTTGATTTTTATCTCGATTCAAATTCGTCACTTCCGTTACGCACAGAAGAACAAACTAACCAACTAACTCGTACACAAAACGCGATGAGATATCCATAAATAGATGAGGACAACACGATGTGTTTGAGAAATACTTTTGCCCCTTATAACAGCATATGGTGAAGGTTGAAGTGTCTCGAATGCAAGTCAAACTTCCAAAGTCAAGGTCAAAAGCTCAACATTCTTGGTGTCAAGAGGAAGGTCTTTTCATCAGAAACATATGTGAGAAGCAAGAGAGCCCTAGTACTAACTGTTCAAAAGTCATAGCCAAAGTTAAAAAGAATTACAAAATGGATCAAACTCTAAGGTCAAAGTCAAAAATATTTTTGCCAATTGAAAGGTCGATCTTGTCACAATAAATATATGAAAGCCCTTATACTAACCGATAAAAAATTATGGCCAAAGTCTAAGTTTGGTGTATTTTGTAAACATGGATCAAACTCCAAGGTCAAGAGGTAATATTTGGTGGTACCCTAAGAAAGATCTTGTCCCAAGTGTGATGCATGAAAACCATAACTCTACACAGTCAAAAGGTTACACATATGTAATTCTTATAACAGGACCTTCCTTTAGATACTAACAATTTTCACCTCTTGACCTTGAAGTATGATCTACTCTAAAAAATGATCTTTACCATAGCATTTGAACAGGTGGTGCTAGGGCTTCACAAGTGTTAAACATATTTGATTTGCATTTGAAAAATTTTAACCTTGGCGATAAGTTGCCTTGATTTTTTTTAAAAATATTTACGAATTTTTCCGTTGTTTTTCTATCGTAACAAGAAGCAAACGGCGGATATGACCGGTCGGCAAGGGGTATTTACTACTCAATGGCACCTGATCCTACCTCCAATGTTTTAGAGGTCCGTCTTTGCTCTGCTCCTATTTTGTATTGTTTAATGGATTTTAGATCATGAATACCGTTAGTTATCTCCATATGTGTCATGTAAACCTGTATTTTATTTTGTGATAACAGACATACAAAACACATTTTCATTTTATTAAAGTAATTTCTCTACCGAAAGTTCCCAAGTTACTTTGAAAACAACCTTCATTCCCATTTTGATTTATAGTGTTATTTCCTTAATGTGTCAAGAACCTTGTCGATGTCAGACGTAAAACGTGCATTAATAATTCTGATCCTATCGTTCATAACAGTATTCATATTCAAGAAAAAAGGTCACTTAAATAAAAAAAATGCAATTACTTCTCTCCTTAATGAGCGATTATCAAAATCATCATTATGTAAACAGTTTCCTACACATAACAAATAACGTTGACATATCCATAACATGATGTCGCCGTGAAAGTAAAATTAATTTGTAAATAAAAGTTTTTACTGCAGAATTTTCTTTCAAAATTTAAAATTTAAAAAAAAAAATTTTAATCTGAATTTATAATAAGGTTAGAGAAAAAACTGAAAAAATAAAAATATGATGATATCGTTCAAATTGAAAAATAAGCAAAAATTTGGAAATATAAAATGATAATGAAGTTTAACTCAACCAAATCGAGAAGTTTCACACTGAAAATAAAATATGCATGTGTAAATCTATTTCATTGATTCTATTTGGGTTTTCACAGAAAATTTTCTTTTAGTACTTTGCACTATACAAATTATATCTTAGATTTTGTGCCAAGTTATATTGAAATCGCGAAAACTGTAGGAAAAAAGCATTAAATTTCGACAAAAATTTTGACAGTTAGACGTTATTATGTTAGTTTTGAATTTAGAAAAAAAAATTTGCTTTGAAATTAAAAATATTAAAAATTTGAAAATATAAAATGATATTGAAGTTTAACTCAACCACATCGAGAAGTTTCACACTGCAAATAAAATATAAATCTATTTCATGATTGTTTTTGAGTTTCTGACAATTTTCTTGACTTAACACGATCAAAATATATTTTCTAAATTGCGAATTACGAAAAAAGCGTTAAATTTCGACAAAAATGCTGACAGTCAGACGTTATTATGTTAGTTTTGAATTTAGAAAAAGCTAATTTGAAATTAAAATATTAAACTTTGATTTTGTGCTGAAGTAAAGAAATAAAATCTACAAAATTTAGAGAAAAGTGAAAAAGTGATGTAACCTGTTTTAAAACGAAAAATAACTAATGTGTGCATTTTAAAAAAATTGGCATAAAGTGTCCTTCAAACATTAAACTGTGGCTTTGACATTTGAGATCACATCTCCTGTTTACAGCGATTTCCAGGAATTATTCATGTACCTAAGCAAGAATCAGTTCTAAAATATAATCAATAAGACAAATTATAGAACTATATATAAACTTTGTATTTCGCAAATCTGTGTATTTTGCCAAAATATTCCATAACAAGGCAGAGGTTAACGATATGGATTGAAAAAGATTTATATTGAAAAATTAGCATACACATATTCAAAGCCGTAAATTAATGAAATAAGGAGACATTTAATTTTTTTGGAAGATAAGAAAAAGACAAATTATGAATGCATTCAGTCACTTTCAGCGTCTTGTAAAATACCGTCTGATGCCAAATTTTTGCATTTTCGTGATTTCCTTGAGTTAAAACATGCTTATTTTTTCTAACAAAAAGTATAGTAGGAATAAATTTGTTTTAGGAAAAGTTGAAATTTTCTGTCACCATTTCTCCTATGACCTTGATAAAAGGTCAAGAAAAATTTTTAAAACAACATCGCAATGCCTTGAATTTCTTTGTTCCTTTGTTTTATACATATTTTATTGCATAATTCATCCAAAATGATTGGTTACAAGCTCTTGCAACTAAGAAAAAAATTGTTTTGAACGTAGAATCATTCTGTATTTTTATTCCTTTATTTTATATGCTTATATGTGTACTTCATATGCATTCTGAAAGAAACAATCAAGATACTAGTACTAGTATATAAATGTATCCATTTTTAGTAAGTAAATCTTGTACAGATACATAATTGGAGTATTATGTTAACATAGAACCTACGTTGTATATGCATGACGTCATATCTAGTGAATTTGTTTAGCCTTTCTTTTTGGTGCTATTGATTTTTTTTCACTAATTCAAACACCAATGCAATGAAAGTACATTGTTGAATTGATCTATTGCTTGGAGAAATACCTTTGCCAGCACAGTATCTTCAGCGAAACACAAGATAAATGAGGTTATTTCATTGATATATAAGTCTTGGAGCCCCTTGAGGAAGATTTACAGACATTGGCATGAAAAGAATGTTTTTGAAAGACCACATAAATCAATTCACCGGACTAGAAAATGGCATGGATACAAGAACAACTCTCATTCTTAAGGAAGTCATGAACGGTACATACTTCGGTGAACCACTTATTTGCATGACCAAATTTTGTACTTTTCCTACCAGCTATAACACTGATTCACTTTTAGAAACGACTTTACACGTGAAATGTACGAAATGAATAATTTAACTCTTGAAAGTGAATCCCGTTAGACCGGAATTACTCATTTAAATCACTTGACTTATTTTAATATAAAAAAATTGCACATAGGATAACTTGAACATAAAATTTAAAGAAAAAAACTTAGTATTTGGTAACAGTT